GGGGGGGGGGTGGGGTGGAGGGGGGTTTGCCTTGCTATAGTTTCCAACTTCCAACTCTTTTTCCGCACTCAATTTCAGCCAGCGCGTTTATCGCCTGCACTTCTTATACCAACTTCCTCCCAACCCAATTATTCATCTTACGAAACTGCTTACCGGATTCCGGCATCTTTGCGTTGCAGCTTCATAAGAGCGGAAGCGATGACATATGTAGGTTGGTTAATGTGTCTGATAGACGGCATAGTCCCATTGAGATCCCAAGCCGGGATCAAATTTCGCTCTTTTGCTTTCGCGGGCTGTTTGCTTTCGCGGGCTGTTGATGGGTTTCTTATAGTGTCCGGCAATTTCGGTGGGGTGATGGTTGGCCCAAGCTGCGTAACATGCACTGATTGTAAATCAATCTGTATCGACCCTGCACATGTCGCTGTGCCTGGGACAGCAGGAGTTTAGGGTTTAGGGTTGAGGGTTTAGGGTTTAGGGTTTAGGGCGAGAGGAGAGACGAAACAGTTTGAAAGTTTGAAACAAGGAATTCCGGCAAGTGACATCGGCGCCATGCTCGGAACCATGTGCGGATGTTCAATAACCTGGCAGGATAGACCGTGCAGTCGGGACAGTCCTGACTGAGCTCTAGCCTTTGAAGCAGAAGCCGATATGGGGGTTTACGAAAAATAGGGGACCCCCAATATAGAAGAGTAGGATCCCCGTATAATAGGGACCCCAAAACAGGTACCCCCAATTTCGAAAACCTCATATGTCCCTAAACCCTAAGCCCGAAACCCTAAACCCTAAACCCTACAGCGACCCTTAAGCTCGGCAAGGCTTTGTGGAACCATCAAGTTCATCGGCACCACAGAGTTTGCGGCAGGCGAGCCTAGGCTCAGCAGACTGCATGCTTCAGGTTGGCAGTAGGGTTCGGGTTTAGGGTTTGAGGGTTTAGGGTTTAGGGTTCATAGTTTATAGTTTATAGTTTATAGGGGTTTGGGTTTCGAGTTTGAGGGTTTAGGGTGTTGGGTTTTGGGTTTCATGGCTATTTGAGTGCGGCCTTGGATTCGTTGAAGCAGCCACCAAAGTGAAAACTAAGGAATGGATGGGCATCGAACTAGACGAGAAGGCTGTCCAGGGGTTCAGCTGTCTTCACCGGCGAATAGTCGTCCTAGGTAGGATGAGGGGGACCCTTAAAAGGGAACCCTTCTGAACCCTCTTCTGGCTCTCTTAAACAGGACCCTATTCAGAGGGTCTGTATCCCCAAGGGTCCCCCTACTTGTATCCACTAAGTCGTGCTTTCAGCTGTCCGACATGAAGTCTCGCTCTCGCTCTCGGGTCTGTCGCTCTCACCTTCCCTCCGTCCCTCTTCCTCATGGTCTAAGCCCTAAACCCTAAACCCTAAACCCTAAACCCTAAGCTTCATGCGCAGAGATCCTTCGACCTATCCTTCTGGTACATGCCTTTGTTCAGTCCTCCAAGCGTACTCTCTTTTGGGCCTCCTTCGTAAGGACCCTGATGTTTCTGTCCAGTCCTCGCAAAAAACATTCAGACAGCAGTTGGGCTTGCAAAGCAGATTCGAAAGGAGGTTGAGTTTAGGGTTTAGGGTTTAGGGTTTAGGGTTTAGGGTTTAGGGTTTAGGGTTTAGGGTTTAGGGTTTAGGGTTTAGGGTTTAGGGTTTAGGGTTTAGGGTTTAGGGTTTAGGGTTTAGGGTTTAGGGTTTAGGTTGCCTGGACGCCAGGCTGGCAAAAACAATGGCTGCGTCAAGGGCAAAGCCTACTTTGACTGCAAGCCAGATCATGGCCTCTTCGTCAGGCCAACAGCTGTTACCAAGATCGGCCCAGCCAGAAGAAGGCTCCTTTGAACTCCATGGAATGCTTTTTTGGGGTATTTTCAGGAGGCCCGGGCCGATATCATTGCGTGAACTGCAAGTCATTCAACCCGAACGGTATAAACGATCATACTCTTCCATCGAGCCAGTAGAATGCGCTGCGTTTTCTGCCTACGCGGGGTGGAAAGACAAACAGCTCGTCAGCTACTGTATCAGGAAGACTGCCTTGCCTTTCTAGTTTACCGGAAGCCACCCTCTCTCATATGCAAAGGTCTGATGCGGTTCCAGACGCTTCACTGCAGCCACCACGGACCTTGCAACCTTCTGTCCCTGCGCCGACCAAGAGCCCATTCCTGGCTGTGCAGTCGCAGCCCGCTGCTTGGCAACGGAACCGACAACTGACCGTCCTTCAGTCCGAAGCCGTTTCAAGGCCCTTAAAGGCAAGGAACGCTTGCACAAGACCTACAGCTCCAACAGACCTCTATCTCATAGACTCCAATGTAGGTGTTCCCTATGGACCTGCACAGTCTTGCAGGGCTCCACCAGCCAAGGCATCACCGGCCAGGCGCACCAGCAGCAGAGTGGAAGGGGACCGGAGCCGAGAAATCCAGAAGGCCAGCGTGCAACTGGAACTGGCGCAGGCCATGGAGGACCACGATGTGGAGACCATTCGTAGGTTGCTGCCGGTGGCAAGCAATCTCGGTCTCCCCCGAGAAGAGATCGCAGGGGCCAAGCGCATCTTGAGCTGGGAGCTCCGGCTGACTTTGCACCTGAGGATGTTCTGCAGCGTTTTTTTTGTTTTAAGTGTCGAATTCAAAGCTCACCTACGTATCATCGCCGACAGACGGCCTGACCTTCGACAGAAGGGAGGAACCAGAAGGAAGCACTCGGAGCAGCATGAGCGGCACTGCACGCTCATCAACCGCAATCGAAGTCGATTCTGCAGCAGTTCCAGGCAATCTGCACTCAAGTGCTGATCAGGTCTCGCCTCCACTCGAGCTCATCTATCGGTTTATGGTTTTTAGGAAGAGTAGTATACCGCAAACTGAACAGCACTGTCGGCTTATGGTTTTGGTTTTAGGAAGAGTAGTATGACGCAAACTTAACAGCAGCCAAGGCACAACGAAGTTGACGCCATGAGCGCATCTGTCTCGCAACTGGCACGGTCAGTGGCTTTGTTGGAGGCTGCGCCGCCGAGGGCAAAGGCAGATGCAAGCTCAGCCATCAGTAGGCTCGGACAGGAGCTCGAACAGAGGGTGTCTTGTACTATTTGCTTAAGAACCCCAAAGGAATAAGCAACAATAATCCCTATACTACCCTTGTAAGGAAGAGTTTTTTGTTTTTTTTTTTTTTTTGGGGGGGGGGGGGGGGGTTCTTAAGCAATTAGTAGTCTCGGGAACGAATAGGAGGATTAGGGGTACCTTATTGGGGTCCTTATTATAAGGGGATCCTCCTTTAGGGTCGTAAACCCCCCAATATATTTTGAGAATCCTCATGTCATAGCGGCGTAGGGGTCCAGGTTTTGGGATCCAGAGCGCAAAGCCTTTGAAGCTTTAATGGGCCCTTCCAAGGTATGGCAGAGCCTCGAGAGCAAGATCCATCAAATAGTTGATGGTACTCTTTCGAGGGCAGCGAAACAGGCATCTTCACATCCGCTGGAAGCATACAACTTCGACCATTTCGATCTCAACGGCGACGGGATTGTTACCAGAGAGGTCTTTGAAGAGGCTCGCCGCAAGATTCTGGCAGGGGCAGGCCAGGCTGCTGCGCCCGTCCGCAGCAGCGGAGCGACTGCAGCAGCAGCTTGCAAGTTCGAGAACGACCCTGTCAAAGAGAAGGCGCCGCAGGCCTACATGCGACATCTCTATTGCCAAGCAGCCAGGCGCTTGCGTGCGCTGGCACGCGGCCAGGACTACGAAGCCGCAAGATGTGTGGTCAGGCACTTGCTGCGCACGGGTATGCAGCGACTCAGACCTGGGGCATGTTGTTTTACATTTGCATTCGCTCTTCCAAACCCCTAAACCCTAAACCGTAAGCCCTAAACCCTAAACCCTAAACCCTAAACCCTAAACCCTAAACCCTAAGGCCCTAAACCCTAAACCCTAAACCCTAAACCCTAAACCCTAAACCCTAAACCCTAAACCCTAAACCCTAAACCCTAAACCCTAACCCTAAACCCTAAACCTCCGGGAATCCAAGGAGAGCTTGCCTGGCCGGATCAACACCAGAGGCGTTGGTTGAGGCGAGGCGGGACATCGCTGCAATCCGGGCATCGAAGCAGAGGAGCCTCGCTCTTATGTTGAGAGCCTAAAAGATTTAGGGTTTAGGGTTTAGGGTTTAGGGCCTGAAGAGATTTTTCCTGGGACCCTCTTTACCTACAGTTTTATGGCTCTACCTACTCATTATAAGGCAAGTGACTACTAAATCCGCGCCTGGCTAGATGGGTGGGAATGCGGGGGTTTGGAGCTGGGGGCCCACGGAATGGATGGGTGGTGCCTTCCAAATCTTTACGTCTACGCCTCTGCTGTTTGGGGCATGCGCTGGTGCAAATACGCCAGCGTATGTATGTAATTACAGCCACCTCAAAATCGACAATTGGGCGTTTACGATATTAGGGGAACCTTATTGAAGTCCTTACTATAAGGGGGATCCTTCTTCTTGGGGGGTCCCTTATTATCGTAAGCCCCCAATGGGCCTCAGCATGCAAAGCTTAGGATCGAAGACGCCACGGCGAAGGCCGAGGAGCTGGTGAATGCAGCCTCTACCAAAGTGCAAGCCGTCGCGCGTGGCCGAAGAGTGCGTCGGGAGAAGGAGCTGGTGCAGAAGAGTACCTGGCAGAAGAGCACTGAGAAGGGCTTTTGGATTTGAGGGACTTGGGTTTAGGGGTAGGATGTTCTTGTGTGTGGCTGCCCTAGTGCAGTCCACCATTCCAGAGAGAGTTCAATGCAGTGGTCCATGCCGCAAACAATGCAGCCTCTGTTGAGGCTTTCTTTCTTTGCTTTCTTTCTGTGCAATAATGTGATGTGCCTGTCTGTGCTACAACGTATGGAAACAGCATGTACTGCTAAACCTTCCATCGGTTGCTTCGTCAGAGCGTGTTCCACCCTTAAGCTCCGTGACCCTGCAAGCCAAACAGGTACAGTCGTACTTCAGCGCGCACTCCGCCGGCTTAAACACCGGAGGGCGACCGGAAGGAAGCAGGAGTTTGCGGCAGTGGTCAGGGCGGCCAGGGGGCAGCGCAAGGAATGGGCCATGGAGCTTCTGGGATGTCCTCAGCGAGCGTTATATTTTCATGAAACAGCGACCATGAAATCTCAACCGCCATGTTTGTTGCGCCTCTTAAATGAAGCCACTGCCATGATTTGTTTGAGACGATTTTGAGACGACTTCACCAGCCCTTATCCCAAAGATTAGCAAAGGTTCGAGAGACTCGCGGTCGATGGCGGTCTGGAGCGACCTGCCTTCACTCTGGCATTGACCAGAGCCTGCGGGAACAAGGCGGGGGGGCTTGTCCACAACTTTTAAATTCGATAGGGGCGTTTAGGGTTTAGGGTTTAGGGTTTAGGGTTTAGGGTTTAGGGTTTAGGGTTTAGGGTTTAGGGTTTAGGGTTTAGGGCTCGGTTCAGGGTTTAGGGTTTGGGGTTTAGGGTCGCAGGAGGCCCGCTGCAAAAGGCTTGAAGGATATTGGCAACTTTGGGTTGGGGTCTCAATGGATCGTCACAGAGCGGCCCTGGCTCCGACACCTCCCCTAGCCCTAAACCCTAAACCCTAAACCCCTAAACCCCTAAACCCTAAACTCTAAACTCTAAACCCTAACCTAAACCCTAAGCCCTAAGCCCCTTCAGGGCAGGTCGCAATATGGAACCTCCTTCCCCAACATCATCAATCAATGGACCAAGAGCCCTACATCCACCGAGGCCCTGAATCCCTGAAGGCCCAAAAATCCTGAACCTGAACGAGAAAACTCGCAAAATCACGTAGGGTTTAGGGCTGAGGGTTTAGGGTTTAGGGTTCAGGGTTTAGGGTAGTTTACCGTAGTCCCTCAAACCCATGATCAGGTGTCGCTTCTTCAGGCGGAAAAGCTGTGGACGGGGTTCCTGGAGCACAGTGTCCCAGCTGCTTATGAGACAGTTTCGGGACCATTTGAGGGTGCTTCCTGTCCCCCAGCGGAAAGCTGTTCAATGTCATGGGCACAGTTGAGGAAGAGGCGATCCAGGGGAAGTCGGTACGCTGTACTGTTGGCACATGTCTCATGGAACACGTAAACTTCATGGCCCGCGTGCTGCTGCGTTTTTTTTGTACACCTACCCTTGTCGAATCGCCCCCTTTGATCCCCTTTGTTATCTTTGTTCGTACTGCGCTGTTAGCCTGGTCGCTGACATCATCAGGGCTTAGTAGTAGAGTAGGTAACTTTTAACCTTTTTGGGTAAATATATTCCCCTTATATTCCCAAAGGTTAACCTTTAAAACCCCTAGGTACTGGACAACTGAGAGGGGGCTCAAGGAGCCTACGCCCTGCGGGATTCCTTGAAAAAGGGCACTCCGATTTTCTTCGATGCATTCTCCTGGGGGCGGGGGGTGGGCAGCGATGAGTACACCAGGCGAGAAGGGGTCATGACCTCATAAATCCTGCTGCGACGTCCGGCACCTGCCTTGCCTTGTCTGCCAGCGGATAATCTTCAGCCCCCTGAAGCCTAAATCCTAAACCTGAATAGTCCCTGCGGAGTGATTGAGAACGATCGGCTAGGCGGGGGGCAAGCAAAACCCTAAACCCTAAACCCTAAACTCTAAACCCTAAACCCTAAACCCCAAACTTAAGCCCTTATCCCTAAACCCTAAACACCCCGAAGCCAAGGTGAAGTTGCTGGGCCCATGGCGATCTCGCCCTTCTGGGCCATTTGCGAGGCGGGCGGATCTCGCAATCTGTTGACCCGACTTCGCCCTAAGCATGCGGAAGCATGAGAAGAATTCTGCTAGAGAACTGGAAGCGCCAAACCCTCACCCTAAACCCTAAACCCTAAAGCCACTCACCTTCTGAGGCCCCAAAGCTCAGCATCTCTTGCCCACCAGGCCGTGGAGCAAGGAGATGTCCAGGCAGCTGATTTCGCAGCCTGGGCTCAACGGAATGCGGTTGGGAGGGGTTTCGGGTTTAGGTTTTAGGGCATTGGGTTTGGGGCGTGGCTTTACGGCCAGCTTACGGTTTAGGGCTTTGGGAGGGGGGGGGGGGGGGGGGGGCGACAGAAAGTGCGAAAGGTAGCCTGCTGCACTGAGGCAGACATGCCAGTGGAGGAGTGTCTTGGACTTGCTTCAGGATAGGCTTGATATGGCAAGAGCGAAACTCCCATCATCGGACTGTTGTGTTCAATGAATGTCTATTTGACAAGTTTGTTCTACGCGAACGTGTGTCTACTCCAAGGTATGCGTCCTATGGACACCATGGACACAATGACTTCCATGCAGCGCAGATGCAGATGCAGCACCTTGGGAACCAAATGAACCCTAAGAGCGTTTATGGCTCATATACCTTAATAGAAATTATACTAGTAGAGGGTATATGTCGCCAATTTTAGGGTTTAGGGTTTAGGGTTTAGGGTTCATGTCGACCTCTCCCTGAGGGATTTTGTCTCCACTGGTTGTCTGTCGAAGAGGGCTGGATGAATCTCGCTGTGGTTGAGGGTTCAGATGCCTGTAACTCCTGGGCGACTACACTTCAGCACATCTGCATGCTTTCTGCTCCCCTGGTCATACAGCTACATTTGAGCGAAGAGCTGGCGGATAGTTTGCTCTTGTTCTTGCATCACTTGGCTAGTCGTATGTGGCAACAGTTTCAGCGCATTCTACTATTCGATATACTCACGGCCTTGCAGATTTCTTTCCTTAATTCACGCGTGCTTCCTCATGGTGATATGGGTGCATAGAACAGTTTGCGTGATGTTTTGCGTGATGTGACTTCTAAGAAGTTGCATGTTTGCCGGCAGCCTCCAAAGTCCGTTGCTCAAAAGGGTTCATGTCGCCCCCAAGGCAGATGCACGCGGCGCAGCGGATTCAGGCCGCCCAGCGTGGTCGACAGGCCCGGCTGAGCCTCGATCTTGGAATCGATCTTGCAGGAGGGAACTGTTGGAGTGGTGGGTTTAGGGTTTAGGGTCAAGTCCGGCCTCAAGGGTTTAGGGTTTAGGGTTTAGGGTATAGGGGTGCTTTTGTGGGATGTTTTTAAATTGTGTGCTTCTGGGATGTTCAGGGGTGGTTTGTTATGAGGCCATGCGCTCACTGTCTCCAGAATTCTCGAAGTTTTGCCAAACTATGCGGGGCCCGATTTGTGGCGCTTGTGAGCGTCCCCAACCTCATGTTTTCTGAATAACCGCGACAACAACCGAGGCTGCACAATCCCGATGCGCGACAGCAGGCAGCCCTCCGGATACAAGCTGCTCACCTCGGCAGGACTTTGCGGCAGAATCTTACTTCGCCTTTAGTTGAACTTTAAACTTTTTGGGTTTCCTTTTTTAGTAGGAATACTAAAGTTTAACCTTTTTTCCCCTTGGTTATTGGAGAAGTAAGGAATGTCGCAGCCCTGCCGGGTCCAGCAGCGAGTCCTTAAAGTGAGCGCGCGGTGCTCCCCAGAGCGCATTTCAGCCTTGATCTGACAGGGAGGGACCTCAAGGGCCCCCGCCCGACCGCTGTTGTGCTCTCTGTGAAATGGACACATCAAGCTTAGGGCCTTTGTAGGGTAAGGACTGTAATCTGGGGGGGTCGGAATAATTACTAATAACATTCCGTTCTGGTCCCTATGCAACTAGACTAAACTATGATCACCCCCCCCCCCTCCCCCTAACCCTTTTTGAATTATTAAGGCCCCTTATATGAGGGGCTTGTAGGACCTGTAGATGTGTTTTTGTTCAGGCTTTCGGTCCAGAGCCAAGACTCCAAACATGCAAGCCCCATAGACTGGTTAACCCTTCTTAAGCTTCAACAGGGCATCGCCTTGCAATGTTCACGGGGGTTCAGGGTGTTGAATCGCGCTGGCCTTCTCCCAAAGACCACTTAGAACCCTCGAGAAGACGAAGAAATACTGGACTGATAAACCCTAAACCCTAAACCCTAAACCCTAAACCCTAAACCCTAAACCCTAAACCCTAAACCCTAAACCCTAAACCCATGCGAGGCAGGCCTTGTGACAGTCGTCCAAGGCAGCTTGATCGGCATCCTTCTCAGATTTGAAAGCAGACCTAAACCCTAAGCCCTAAGCCCTAAACCCTAAACCCTAAACCCCCCGTGGTCTTTGGTCTTCCCTTTAACCTTTTTGGGGTAGTAGAATCCCCCTATAATCCCACAGGTTATGCTTTAATTCACCCAGGTTGCTGGACAACTAAGGCTTTGTAGGACAGGACCGGGCTGGAAGAGGTTTAAAGAAGTTGGTGGCTTGAGAGCCTGGTAGTATAGGACTTCCTTGATGAGCATGGGTACAGGAGTTCCCCGTCTGGGGTGGAGAGGGTTGGCAATGTTGATATGTAACGCAGCCCATTGGCGCTTGGGGCTTCTGCTGCGGATAGCAAGGACAGATAGGCCCTAAATACCCTAAACCCTAAACCCTAGATTTTCGTGATCCTGCTGCGGTTGGCTAGGGCTGATTCATTTAAGCCGAAGTGATCGCACCCTTTTTACACGCGCCTGTAGGGAGAGGAGAGCATTCGTGCAGCTGCCCAAGGTTTTTTGCAGAGGCAGTCAGTCGTGCTTCAGGTGAAAGTGTTTAAGGCTTGCTACTCTGAGACTTGCACAACTCGAATGTCGAAGGTTTCAGGATGGAGCCAGAAACCCTACCCCCCCCCCCCCCCCCCCAACAAGGCTTCTCAAAAAGGACTTCGTCTCCACGGCCTTACTTAGGGTTTAGGGTTTAGGGTTTAGGGTTTAGGGGTTAGGGGTTAGGGGTTAGGGTTTAGGGTTTAGGGTTTAGGGTTTAGGGTTTAGCAGTCCCTGACCCCTACAAGTTGAGGTTCCATCCTCTCGAACTTGCTTCTGGTCTTAGGCCGGATGCACAATGGGGTTTAGGGTTTGGGGTTTAGGGTTTAGGGTGGGGCTCACAGTTTGCAGGCTCATGTCCTTGTAGTGAATCTTGGGCAGTTGTGTACACTAGGGTGACCTTTTAGGTACCAGTATCCTTTTTGGTACAGCACCCTGGGAAAAGAAGGACCCCAAATGGGAGAGAACTGCCCATCTAGTTATCCTTGATCTCATCATGTTTCGCGTATGCATTCCGCAGGGGGACGATTTGTGTCACTCGTGGTTGAAGAGGAAGTAGAGGCAGTTGATGGAATCCTTTCGACCCTTTTGTCTTCATGCTATATGTCCATGGTTTCACCCAGAACCTTCTGATTCCAGTTCCTGGAAATGGGGGCTTACGAAAATCGGTGACCCCTAAAAACAGACCCCCAAATGGTAGGATGCCCTTACAAAAAGGGCCCCAATAAGGTGCCCCTAATTTCGGAAACCCCCAAAATGACTAAAGTCTTCCCAACACTTCATCTCTCCTCTCTCTTGGCCGTTGCCTAAACCCTAAACCCTAAGCCCTAAACCCTAAACCCTAAACCCTAAACCCTAAACCCTAAACCCTAAACCCTAAACCCTAAACCCTAAACCCTAAACCCTAAACCCTAAACCCTAAACCCTAAACTAAAGCCCCTCCTTTGCCCGGCAGTTTGCCGAAGTGAATGGCCAATCCCGTCTTTGGCTTGGTGCTTTTCTCGATGATCATCGTTAGGGTTTAGGGTTTAGGGTTTAGGGTTTAGGGTTTAGGGTTTAGGGGTTAGGGTTTAGGGTTTAGGGTTTAGGTTTAGGGTTTAGGGGCGCCCAGGAATGTTTACCTATTGGTTGCCTACTGCTTTCTTTCGTCATGGGCCAGCTTCAGTTTGTCAGTATACATATAGTAGCAACTTTATGCCTTCATGCGTAGCCCTACCTCCAACAGCAGAATCTTCAACACCGCACGACGATCATCCCACGTGTACTTCCATGTTCCTTCTTCAGAACACCCATCCATGGACAGAGCTGGCTGAGTTTCACACAGGGTTTAGGGGTTAGGGTTTAGGGTTTAGGGTTTAGGGGCCCGATGACAGGCATGGCTTTCCTGGCAGCTGGTCTGGTCCAAAAGGCGCGACACAAGCTTGTGAGTTGGGGCGCCCGAGTTGAATCCCCCCTGTTTAGGGTTTAGGGTTTAGGGTTTGGTGCTTTCAGCTTGTTTGCTAAGGCGAGCGAAACTCAAGGTCAGTCTTCACACCCTGATAAACCTTTAAGGTTTAGGGTTTATGGTTTGGCCTGCACACCCTGACAAACCCTGGGAACTAACACTTTGACACAGGAAAGCTCCTTCAATGAGATGGGGGCATCAGCGAATGTGGTGTGCCTGGCGCCGGGCACCACAGATGTAGGGGCGGTCGAGAGATGCAGAGTTCAGGGCCGGCTCAACTGTAGATACGAGGAAAGCGCTGAACCCTAAACCCTAAACCCCTCAAAAGTTGATGTCAAGGGAGCCGGCCTGAGTTGTGAGTGTGGGATCAGCGCGTGGCCGGGGAGATGGCAGTGCGTTTTGAGAACTTAGCGACCCCAGTGCCTGGTGCCTGGTTTGGGACTTTCAGGGCCTGTAGGGCTTAGTGACATTGAGGTCTTGTACTTCTGAGTTGTGCGTTGGCCTAGTGGGCTTGCTTCCTGGATCAGAACCCCTCAAACCTACCCCATACAACCCTAAACCCTAAACCCTTTTTCCCAAGCAAACACAGCGGCCAAGGTTAGGCGCAGTGGCTCTCGCCATGATCTCAGGATGGTTCAGCCTGGAGGGGACAGCAGGATTCGCAGCAGAGTCGTCCTCAACACATGGGTTTGGGGTTTGGGGTTTGGGGTTTAGGGGTCGGAATAATTACTAAGAATATTCCCTTATGGTCCCTTTGTAATTTTTCCAAACTGATCCCCAAAACCCTATTCTAATAATTCAGACCCCATATTACTTTGTGTGGTCCTGAATCGCCTGCCTCCCTGCGCCCAAACGCATTGCTGGCATGAGGCAATGGACAGCGTGTAGGTTGGGTAGGCAAGAAGATAAACCTAAACCCTAAACTAGGCATAGCAAGTGTCTTGCCGGAGTTGTGATTTCCCGTTTCATGATTTCCTTCCTGCACATGTACGCTTGCGTTTGGGGGTTCAAAAAAGAGTAGGGACGTTTTCTTTCTTGAAAATGAAGGCTTAGCACCCCAAACTCTACATCCTCTACAGTGCCCATGGCTGGACCAGCCCAGGCACTGCCTGCAGTATTCAACACCATTGATGGCACCTCGAAGCAGGACTCATGCGATTGGTGTGCTTGTATGGGATGCCACAAAAAAGTAGCTCTGCTTGAATTATGTCGCATTCCGGACCTCTCCCAAAACCTTGCCTTTTTGCTGCTGTGTGCAAAACCACAACCCTACACCCTAAACCTGCAGTGTGGCCTGGTTGCTTGGCAGGTGGCAAAAAACAAACCCTCAACCCCAAGCCCCTAAACCCTAAACCCTAAGCCCTAAGCCCGCAGCCCTAAGCCCTAAGCCCTAACTAAGCCCTAGCCTGGCAGGATGTCTTGGAGGTCTCGCGTGCCTCCTCTGGTGTTGTCGCTGCAGCCAGAAGCTAAGCTAAGCCAAGAAACTCAGCACAAAGGCAGGGCGTCGGGCTGTAGTGGGTTTAGGGTTTAGGGTTTGGGGTTTAGGGTTAGGGTTTAGGGTTTAGGGTTTATACGTCTGAGGGTTCAGGGCGCAAGGCTATGGAGCAGGCAATGTCAGGTGAGCGCCTGGGGTTCGAAACCTTGGTTTTTGGCACTTGTTCAATCCGCAACTCACGCCACGTCCCTGCGATTGTATCATGGCGGACATGCAGGGTTAGGTTACGGTTTTCAGTTTGGTCTCGGGTTCTTGGTTTTGGCAACCAGTTTGCAGTTCCACACCCTTCCATTGGCACCCCGAAACAGTGCTGGCAGCCGCAAGTTAACATCCCAGACTTCGAGCCTGTCAGCCTTTGAGTGGCATTCCGACTTGCTTGCCACTTCTGAGCACCTCTGACCACGGGTACCGAATGAGGAGTTAGCACACCCTAAACCCTAAACCCTAAACCCTAAATCCTAAATCCTAAACCCTAAACCCTAAACCGGTCACCGAGGCCTACGTTTGCTTTCTGATATTTCAGCTCATCACCCACTCGGAGATGTTTGCCGGGGAGGAAGAGGAAGAAGAGGAGGAGCGGAGTTTGCCACCTTGATTTCTTAAATTGTCCTAGATCCCCTAGATGGATCGTCCGAGTCGCCGTGTCCCGCAACCCTAAACCCTAAACCCTAAACCCTAAACCCTAAACCCTAAACCCTAAACCCTAAACCCTAAACCCTAAACCCTAAACCCTAAACCCTAAACCCTAAGCCCTGCATCTTGAAACCTAGGGGCCGCTGCTACTGGTAACACCCTGAGATGCCCTGAGCATGTGTTTCATCAAGGAACTGAAGGAGGGACACTTGTAAGGGGCTTTAGGGGGTTCTTTTGGGGCTTCTATACAGGGACTATACATAAGGTACATATGAGGTTTAGGGTTTAGGGTTTTTTGGGTTTAGGGTTTAGGGTTTAGGGTTATATAGGGGATTAAGATTAAGGGTCCCTTCGAGGGATCCCTCCTTATACCCCCTGAATTTCAGGCCAACATATCCCTCTTCTCGGCCGTTCTCATCTTGCTGCTGGCTACAGCTCTAGCCTCATTGCGCAGTGACCGGTGCGGAAAGTGTCTGAAGCACTCGCGTTTCGGGGTGCTTTGCGGGTCGTGGGGATGAGGGCTCCGGGCTTCAGCAGAGTTGTGGATCGAGGGCTTCGTCATCTGTGGTTTTGCCGGCTTTGGATTCGCCTTTCATTTTTAGCTGGGCCAGGCAATGTGCCTAGTCGTCGCATCTCTTGCGTACTCGCAGCAAGCAATTTCCCCTGGATCTTAGTAGGGAATGAGGGGCCTCGTTCCCTCATTCCCTACGAAGACCCAGCCTGTATTGGTGCGCTCAGGTGGCTGTTGCATTCTGCTCCGAGCTCCTCGTGGACTCCATCGAGGGTGTGACAGAGGCTTGAGACCTGGAAGCTCAGGGCGGGGCTTCTACCCCTAAACCCTAAAACCCTAAACCTCAAAACCCTAAGGCCCTAAAACCCTAAACCCTAAACCCCCAAAACTCAAACCCTAAAGCCCTAAAACCCTAAAGCCCTAAGCCCTAAAGCCCTAAAGACCTGGAAGCGCGGGGATGCAGGCTATTCAGGGTTTAGGCTTTCGCGTTTGTAGGGATTACAGGGTTCAAGGGTTCAAGGGTTTAGGGTTTAGGGTTCAAAGGGTTTATGGGCTTTGTAGGGTTTGTAAGGTTTAGACGGTGTGTAGGGTTTAGGGTTGTGATGTGAACCTTGTTTGTTCAGTGAGTGTGAGCCCATTGACGCGGAAGGCGAAATTGGAACGGTTCTGTGGAACCCTAAACCCTAAACTCTAAACCCTAAACCCTAAACCCTAAACCCTAAACCCTAAACCTTAAACCCTAACCCTAATTTGTGTTACGGGGGCGGGGCATATCAGAACGAAAGATTTCAGCACGTCGGGAGCTTCTGGTCTATCCTGTTACCGATCACATCAATGCCCTGTTACGAAATATGCTACGTGAGGATGATGATCAGACACACAACTGTCCTTTTGTCAGGACTACGGCCTTCCAGAGGCTGGGCATTAGGGTGTAGGGGTGTAGGGTTTAGGGTTTAGGGGTTAGGGTTTAGGGTTTAGGGTTTGATGGGCCTGTATCATTTTGCCATTACAGTGCGTATGCTGCATCCGTATTTCCTGCTGCATTGTGCCTTGGCAGAGACACAGCAGGAGGCTCACTTACCAACATTGCATCGAGTCGCTGATGTTTTGCAAGAACAGTGTCAGATACTTCTCACCTTCAATGTCATACCTGAGAGATATATACGTAAAATTGCTACCCTTCAAGATTGATGTGAAAGCCTGCACTGGCTGCAGTGTGTGTGCTTGCTTTTCCTGTACTCATCGACTCTTCTAAGAAGAGTTTCGGCATCCTGGCAGCAAGGAGTCCAGTTGCAAAAGGGTTTCGGGTTTAGGGTTCAGGTCCATGTTGCTTCCATGTTGCTTGGGACGTTGTGCCGTTCCGCCCACATGAACCAAGCTGCGGCTTGCAGGGCTTCAAGCTGTAAACGCCTTCAATCGGCCCCTCGACTCCTGACAACCCTAAACCCTAACCCTAAACCCTAAACCCTAAACCCTAAACCCTAAACCCTAAGCCCTGCTTTCACCCCTTGGCTTCACTCCCTGGCCGCCATGCGCGAGGCGTTCATTGGGGTTATCCTTCTGCCCATCGTCGGCAATGCCGCAGAGCATGCTACCGACTGGGCCTTGGGCGCACTGAGCTTTAGGGTTTAGGGTTTAGGGTTTAGGGTTTAGGGTTTAGGGTTTTCGTGTCCCGGATCTCAATTCAAACCATTCAAAGGGTGGTTCGGCTTGGAGAGGGGAGGGAGAAGTGGAATCCTGGTGTCGTCAGCAGTGACATAGAGAGTTGACTTGGGAAGACAGGCCTCCGTTGTCTGGATTGCGCAAGTTCCAACAGCTGTCTAGAACTGGCTTCCACGCAGTCGTGCATGCACTTCTCCCGAAACAAGAATCACACAGGGTGCACCAAACTAACCAAAGCAACACCGGCAGAGTCCTCCAAAGGTGGCCGGGCAAGGGGGCTCACCAAATTTCAGACCCAATGACGGAGCCGACAAAAATGGATGGCACACTCGATCCCGTTCCTTGCATCGCCCGGTGGGCGCCAGCATATAGTGCTATCTTGTCATGCGCAAGGTCTTATCTCGGATGTGACATGAGGTGGCCCCAACTACGGTACAGACCCTAAACCCTAAACCCTAAACCCTAAACCCTACAAAACCCTAAACCCTAGGCCTTCTGTGACCCTGTGTGGGAACAATAAGAACTCGACAAAGACCACGAGGCTGTGACCATGGCGTTCAAGGGCAAGATGGACTGCCTCCGGCCTTGGGATCAGGGTTAGGGTTTAGGGTTTAGGGTTTAGGGCTTAGGGCTTAGGGTTTAGGGTTTATAGGGTTTAGGTGAGGTTAACGGGGCGGGCATTGAGTGGATTATGGCAGAGAATTGTCTTGGACGGGGGTGTACAGGGGTTTAATGTTGAGGAGTGTTTTGTCGTCCCCGGATTCCTCAATTGCCCTCTAAAACCTCTAGTGCATAGAGCCCTGGAATGTCGAGTCCCCAACATACTTGCAGTGCACCCTCGTGAATTCGCATTTGCTAAAACCGAACCTGAACAGGTCTCAGAGAAGCTTCGTCCAGGGGTCGTTGTTCCGTCCAAGCACCAATCATCGGCCCAAGGCTGCTCGGCTGCGCGCACGAAAGCGGCGCGTGTGGCTGAGCGGCAGAAGCCCCATACCTGAGCTTAGGAGGTGGGCTGGGGGGGCTGGGTCTCTGCCTTAAAGTGCGGCCCTATCCAAACCTCGATGGCTCCCTTAAGCACAAGACCCTCGTAAACCCAAGCCACTCAACCCGGAGCCCAGAATCCTAAACGCAACCCAATCACTTAGTAGTAGAGTAGGTAACCTTTAACCTTTTTGGGTTAATATATTCCCCTTATATTCCCAAAGGTTAACCTTTAAAACCCCTAGGTACTGGACAACTGAGGGATCGCAGCATTACAACTCATGTAGCCATGGCGTCCGTGTCAGCCAAGCGGCGAGGCATGTGGGAGTTTCAGGAGCAAGACTGAGAAGTGGAAGCCTTTCCCGTGTAGGGTTTAGGGTTTAGGGTTTAGGGTTTAGGGTTTAGGGTTTAGGGTTTAGGGTTTAGGGTTTAGGGTTTAGGGTTTTGGCAGTCCTCAAGACCAGTTGCAACTTAGGGTTTAGGGTTTAGGGTTCAGGGTTTAGGGTTTAGGGTTTATGGTTTATGGTTTAGGTCTTTAGTTTAGTAATATTGACCGCGTGTGCAACACGACTCTGCGAACTTTATGTTCGATTGCGCGCTGCGGGTGGTTCAGGAAGATTCGTAGAACCCGTGCTTTTGTTTGCTGTGGGGGCCTTTATTTTGTCAAGATCGCTCCACAGCAAAAAGAGCACGCCTCCCTCAAACCTGACAAGAAGAAGACACAACAACTTGAGAGGGTGTTTCACAGCGATCCTTGACACGCGTGCTGAGACGTTGTCGTTGGTTTGATAGTGATGTGTTCGCGCAGGCTGGCATATATCGAGGTGAGGACTTTGGTGATGGGTGTAGACTGGTACTTGTTCTGGTTTAAAAGGTGATGCCAGGTGGGAATGTGGGGCTGGTTTCAACTAGGGAGGCCAATGAGTTTCCAGGTGTTAACGTGTGGGCGGGACCCTTGCCTGCGCGTGCGCGCGAGTTGTGAGAGTCGAAACCTCGCGCAGCACACGGCTCTGTTTTCAGAATGCACCGAGTTGCAGAGATCCACTCCTGGAGGCCCTCCGCCCGGCCCAGTGGAGCGATCAGCCCGATCGCAGGCGCTCCTGGTTGAAGGACATAGGTTCAGGCATGTTCTGGAATGTGTTGGTTCGTTGGGTATTTGGGCATGCCAGTCCAATGCGCATTCTGACAGCGTGTATACAGCAAGCATCGTGCATGGAACGAGGGCAGACATCCCGAAGCTCGAGCGTCATGCAAATCTATGAGTGAAGTAGGCCTTACGAGTCCTACAGATGCACAAATCAAATCCTTGTATGGCGCGCGACTCAACGCACGCCCAATGTCAAGCAAGTTCGAGCTCGGCGAAGAAGAACAGGCTCCACGGAATCATGCAAAGCCAGCAAACCCTCTGAGTCCACCGGATACGGAGTATGGAGCCCCACGAAGACACCCTCATCAGAGTTGTCCAGGCGCTGGAATCGCGTCGCAGACGTCGACGACGGTTGTTTGCTGAAGCGTAAAGAGGAGGATGTTTAAGCATTTCAAGCACAAGACTGATCGTGTGTCATCTGGAAAGAAATTACATGTCACATTGTCCAGCAACACAGTTGCAGGTGCTCAGGTGAACCAGGTTTGACACAGCCGTGACTCCTTCACAGCCAATCCAGAGCCACAAAGTTCGTTTCCGGTCGGAATTACTAATAATATTCCTTTATGGTCCCTTTGTAATTATGCTACAGTAACCCCCAAAACCGTACTCTTAAGTATTCAGGCCCCTTTTCTTACCTCCTGCAGGCTAGAGCTGATCTTCG